CTTTCATCATTTTCCAGCATAATGGTCAGCGGAGAAAAGATATCCTCTCAGGACTACAAATAAAATCATGTTTGTGTCTTGCAAAGAGAAGCAAAACTAAGTTCTGCATGTTGAATTAAACTTTGTAATATAGAACAGTGACCACACTCTGCTGTTATCTAGACCAATTTCAAAGCCTCCTAACTGTTCACCCCAAATCTTCTACTTGCACTGACAACCCACTACCCAACTACCCACAGGTGAGCTTTCACACAGTAGCAGAAACATTAAAATCCTGCTAAACCCATACAGCCCTAAACAACAGTCTGGGTCCTGTCTGTTCTGGAGCCTCCTCTCCACCAACTCTGTTTTTCCCTTACACTGTCACAGTAATGGCCTCCTGATGAGTTCATATGTGGTTTATTTTTTTTTCACTGTTTTCAAACTACACTTCCACCCTTGCCATTCTCATAATTGTGTGGGGGGGGGGTTCTGCATAAAATGTATGTGTCTAAGATATTTAATTGGCTAGCTTTCTCATTAAGAAACAAACAACTTGATATCATCACCTGTTAGAAAATATTTTTCTAATTATTTCTACTAAACTCTACTGCTTTGTTCGGTATTCATATTTTTTCTAGCCCACAAATTCCTAATCCCCAGGCCAGTAGTCCACTGCTAATCTGCAGTGAGTCAGAAAGTAAAGTTCTGTCTATATTTACAGCTGCTCCCCATTTTTCTCATGACATTCTGAGCTCCATTTCCTGCCAGATCAGCAATCGCAACAGATTATGATGGAGGATGGAGGTCCTACTATGAAGAGCTGGCATACATGCTGCTGATGAGAATCAAATGCCTGATGGTCTGAGGTGGAGCTGAGGCAGTAATGCTAGCTCTGGTGAGCATCTGCAAATACAGATTAACGTTAGCAGAGAGGTTGAAACAGAAACCATAATAAAATAATTCCTTCCAAATTCATATCAAAACCCCATTAGTGAGCAGCAGCTGACAATTAAGATAACCTTTGATGGCAAATTAAATTAGATTATGGAGTAAAATGGATGTGTACAACACAGTCCAAGGATGCCATCAAACTGTCTCCCTTCACTTTAAGATGAGACTGTCCACTGGTAGGAAAATAAGCTCGGTGTTCCTATTATTCCATGTTGTAGTTAGTTATATAGTTATTTGATTATATATTATAATATGATAATAACTGAAATAAGGCATATGATTAAATTCAAATATAATGTGTTTGAATCATCCTTAATCCCTGCTGCCAAAATTGTTGGGGACCACTGTCCTAGAATTTATCCCTCACCATGTAAGACTTGTCTGTTTTCTTTAGAATGCAAGCTCCAAGTCTGCATTCCTGGAGTCTCACCATGGGGGACATTACCAGACTCTCTTAAGAAGTTTAGAAGCACACATTGCACTCATTAATTAGTGGGTGAAAAAAAGTTTAGAAATTAAAATCGCAGGTAATTATTTAGCTTATAGATTTTAAATTAGAGTTGTGTTCAATATCCACTCCATCTGAAATCTTTCTCTTCTAAAATGTTCTCCTATGCCAATTGCACATTTACTGAGTAAAAGTCCCCAATAAAATAGACTTCTTTTAGCATTTACTCAAGGACTACAAATGCACATTACAAAGTCTGACTATATCCCTGAAATTAAAGGGTAGGCCAAATAATTCCCTATAAAAGGTAGGGACAAGCTTTTGATTTTGACGTTGTGACTTGAAAAGATTTCCAAATCAGTTTAGCTTTCCTATTATCTTCTGTATATTATTATTATTTTTCTTCCATGTTGAAGATGTCTAATATTCTTCAATAGATTCTCCACTCCTATTTTCTGGTGGTTGTTTTCATTAAACAAGGTCAGGTTGTTCACATTCCAAGATCCAAACTAATATATATGTATATTATATACATATATACTTACTATGTATATTATAGTATAATATATGCATATATAACTTCATACAGTCTGCTACATTAAAATGTAAAATTTAACAAGGAGTTTGCCAACTTCCTTTTCTCTCTCCCTCTCTCTCCTCCTCTTTCTCTATTCTCTTCCCTCCTAACCCCCTTCTACTATTTATTTTATAAACTAATTTCCAGTTACACAGTATCCTCTTTGTTGTTCATATACCTTTGTTGGCACAAACCCTATAATTTTAATGCCTTTACCAATGTTTTAAAAAAGCATTCATCCTTTGCAACAAGAATGAAATTCAGAATCATCAGTAGACATAGAAGTGATAAAATTTTCAAAGCAATATAATCAAGTTTTTAATACTTAAATATTGTGCCAACAGTTTTGGGATAGATAGGCATATTATTAAATTAGATATTTTTATCTTAGCAGAATGGAAAGATAAAACACTTTCGCTTGCTGGTTTTGAAGATATAAGCTTCCCTGTTGTAAGAAAGGATGAAAGAGAGAGCCACATGGGAAGAATCTGTGAGAACACACAAGAACTAATGTCCCAGTTGGGAGCCAGCAAAAGCGAAAATTTCAGTCCTACAACCACTAGCAACTAAATTTTGCCCACACACCACACACAAACACAGCATATTTCAAACCTTGTTGAAATCTTGAGACACTGAGAAGACCAAATAAAACTTGTCCAGAAAAACGAGAAATGAATTTTGTTTTAAGCCACCAAGTTGACCATCATTTGTTGTACAACAATAAAAACTAATATACTAGTGTCCCCAAGCAGGCATAAAAAGACAAAACATGTCCTACAGAAGAACATAGACTATGGAATTACCATATACATTGTTCTTATAAATTTCAACTTACCATTAAGTATTGATGTGAGGATTAAATCATAAATATTATGTGTAGAATTTAAAGCTTTATATGAATATTAAACAACACATGAAAGTGAGTTCCCTTCTCATTTACTTTACTGTTGTAATTGAGTAGCTGCACAGCTCCACCCACTGACAGTTGTGAGATTCCCCTTTGAACAATCCTCCTTAACCAACTCTGAGCCACCCATAGTGAGAGACAGAAGTTCTTCCTGTGTCACACAGTAGTGAAGAAAGAAGTACTTGAAACTGACACTGACGCATTGTTCTGGGTAGTTGGTGACCAGCTGTTTAATGAAATCCATGAAGATCCATCTAAGGACACAACAAAGTAGCTTTTCCATAGGTTCTTCCCTACTTGGACAACTTTCTACCATAGCTCCTGAATTCACTCAGTCCTTTGCTGAAATGGTATCAGGACTCTTACTCAATTGTGGTTTCCATTTTAAAACAACCTAGGGTTACCTCTTGGTATCTTTACACATTGTTAGAAAACTGTAGCTACCCGGGAGTCCCTGAACATGAGTTTCTGCTGTACCTCATATGAGACCCTGCGTTAGGCTACCACATGATAGAAAATGTGAGTTACCAGAACCAGGCCTGCTGCATGATCTGCTAGCAGTTCATAACTCATAGATAATTGGGCACTAAAAATTTGAATATAATTTAGTATTAATTGACATTATATTTGAATAAAATGAATATGACTGTGACAATCCTAATAATTTTCAGTGCCTCTGTGACTTTCTACTAGATAAAAATATATATTTATAACAAATTATTTGAGAATATACAGGTCGAATTTCTAGTTTTTATAGTTTGCTAAATTGATTGTAATCCATTATGATCATTGGTTGTGATTTCCTTTTCTGTGAATGTCTCACACTTGTTTCAAGAAAAAATTGAAGCACACACATGCGCGCGCGCGCGCACACACACACACACACTGCAACAAGTTAAAAACATTAGAAATATGATCTCAAATTTCTTGAAAGTTCCAATCATATTTGTTTCACACATGCAATTATAGTTTGAAGAAAGAGCTCATGGCATAAAACTTAAACTCACAACAAACATGATAGATTTTTTAATTACTCAATCCATATTACTGGTCTTTCTTATAAGGACAGTTCTGATCTTGATACTTCCCTTGATTTTTGCCTTTATTATCAATCTCAATTCTGGTGTCATGTTTTTTTGTTGTCCCTTTACAATTTTATTCAGAAAGCTAATAGCATCTCTAGCAGCTGGACAATTCTCAGATTTAATCCTCTCTTTCTTTCTCTCCCTTTCCTTCCTCTTCCTTCTTCTCAAAGCACGTGTGTCTCAATAAAATATAAAGTTGTTCCACAGTAAAGGATTAAAAGGTAAATATATTGAAAGGCTCTATGACAGAGATGAAAGTTTAAATTCTATGAAAAAGGCCAGCCAGACAGCAAAATGGACTGAAGCACCTGCTTAGGCAGAGCACAGAGGCCAGGGTTCCATCCTGGCATGCCATTCCAGCCCCACCCCGGGGCGCTCTGAGATAGCAATTGGACTGGGCATGGTGGCGTGTGCCTGTAATCCCAG